TTTTTTTTTTTTTTTTTTTGGTAACAGGGATCGAACTCAGGACCTTGTGCTTGCGAGGCAGGCACGGCACCACTGAGCTAAATCTCCAATCCTAGAGTAACTCTTAACATATGACCTTGTTCATGTTATCAAAGGTCACAATAGCAGTGGTGGGACACTCTTGACACTATGTTGCTTGTTGAGATGCAATGAGAAGAGCACAATCTTATTTCCAAACAAAATAAAATAATTCAATGCTTGTATCTTCTCATGAGAAAACATTACTCATCCCAGTTCAGAATAATTTTATGAAATAATTAAATTAGTGCACAATCTTTTACAGTAGAAAATGTCTTGAAGGTCAGGTGTTCTGTTTCAGATCAAAGGAGATGGAGCAGAGGTGGCAGCTAAGTATAGAGAGTAATGCTGGAGTGAGTGGATGGATCCCTTGACTAGAACTCAGTGTCACTGGATCAGCTTGCGGGAAGAGGGTATGGGGATTTTCTACAGATCATGTAACACTTCTGCAAGTCTGACTTTTTTTTAATAAAATTTTTTTTTCAAATACTTAGCTTCTAGTTTTTATTTTATTGCATAAAGTTTAAAGGAATACTTTCTCTTATTCCAGATTTTATTTGATAAGAATTTTATAGAATATAATCTAGTAAGTTTTCAGATCTGAATGTTTTATGAAATTGCTGTATGATGTAGAATACAGCTTCCTGAATCAGGGCTTTTCTAGAGATGTGGTGTGACCTGTATACCTGCACAAATGCACTTGTGTGTGACCAACACAACAGCTGGGACCTTGGGGTGTCTTCCGGTCATCATTTGGAGCATTATATCGATGGTGCGGCATTTTAGATGAATGGGATTATGAGTTGATGCTGTGGAGTCAGATTGCCTGGGCTCAAATCCTGCCTTCATTGCTCACCAGTATATGACTTTGAGCAAGTGAACCAACTTCTCTGATTCTCGTCTCATCTGTAAAACATAAGTTATAGGAGTATCCATCACATGAGGTTACTGTGAGGATCGTGTCATTAATACCAGTAAAAGTGCTCAGAAGAGAATCTGGTGTAGAATAAATGCTATGTGGCTGTTATTATTACATATAATTATTGTTGCTGCTGCTACTATAATATCTATGATTTATGTAGAGTAAAAGCCAGAGAGAATAAATAAGAGGAATTGCGTTTGCTAGTTTGATCCTGTCTCATGTTCCAATGATAGGAAGGCAGTAAAACCATTGATTTTTGGAGACTAATACTTCTTACCAATTCTCTAAGGTGCTTCTCTGAATCCTAATGCCAAGCCCCATCTTCAGGCACACCTTTATAATGGGAAAGGCACATGTTTTAATTGTCCAGGAAGAACAATGGAAACAAAGATAGGAAACAAAGCAAAATACAATGAAAACAAGATTGGAGAATTAGAGAACCAAGATCCAAGGGAAAATATTTATTTTGGTAGAAAATTTTAGGAAATAAAATGACTGCAGATTGTTTCCAGTTCACACATTGAATCTCAGCATGTGTATGTCAATGTATGCACTAAAAAGAAAGTCTCTAGCGTATCTGGGAAGGAGAGAGGTGTCCTGCCAGTCAGCATTGCCCACCATGCAGTCTACATCCTGCCACCTGCCCCGGCCCTCCAGCCTGCACCCTGTCCTCAGAAGGTCCCCGCCCAAGCTTCAGACATATTACCCGTAACATTTACAGAATATTGAGTATTGTGCATAGTTCTTGTTTTATGGCCTGCTCCTTTCCTAAAAGGGCATGAAGGAACAAATTGAATTGTCTATTATCCTAATAAATGCTAAATTATCCAGGGTGAACCAGCATTTGCAAAGTGTTAAATAAAAGAAGAGACCACTTGGAAGGGAGAAAGGAGTTTGACCAATGCCTAGAAACATAAATAATGAGTGACTAATCAGAAAGGGGGAAATATATTGCTAAGAGAAGAGGAGAACAGTTGCGTAAATTGTATAGTTCTGTTCTTCAGCAATGCGGAGTGTTAGACCTATCCACAAATTCTCGGTCATCTAGCCGTTAGTTGGCACTTGGCTAGAGACCCTAGTTGTCTCCCCAGGCTTGTTACTGTGTCACCCTGACTGAGACATTTTGAATTTTGAAATATATGTTTCTGGTTTTCAAGGCTGATTATTTTCTGGCTAGGTCTTATTTTTTGGTTAACATAGTGTGTATATGCTATCTGATAATGTTTAATTTATAATCTATTATGCTGAGGTTGACAATAATAATGAGACAGAACAGTTATAACAAAACACTGTAATGAAAGATATTGAAGAAGTAGAAGTTATTATTTCAGCAATTTTTCCCTTCCTATGTTCAAATGTGTTGGCCATAGGTCTCCTGAACTATACAAAGTCAAACTGAAGATAAAGCAAGTGTATTTGTGTGATTCATTAGGAACGATGCCACACTTTCCCCTCATATATATTATTCACTTTTTTCCTCAGGTAAAGGCATCGGATAGAGTTATTCCATTACTCTCTGTGGAGGTCTAGATTTTGATTTCAGTATTTCTGACAAAATCTTCAGCTTCAGCCTTGACATCAACTTTATGAACTAAGGTAAAAGATGGTTTACTTAAATATGAATTACTGGTTGTTGAGGCATAGAAAATAAAAATTGCTATATTAATATGTCTTGAAATCGAAAATATATAAATAGAATTCTATGGGGTTTTTATTGTCGGTTTTGTTTTGCAGCACTAGGGATTAAACCCAGGGCTTGCATGTGCTGAGTAGGCACGTGATTTAGAGTTCTGGTTTCTTAATATTGAAAAAAATAATTATGAAATACCAATAAAAAAAGAGAAAACCAAGAAAAAATGAAAGATGAAAAATCTTATTTTCCCTTAGGGTTATAAAAAGCTTCATAGTAAGTACCTTCATATCTATTTTTGGTATCTTACATTACCCAATTATTAAAATTATACCATAAAATAGGAGGAATACAAACTTTTAAAAAATCCCACTGCAGGTCTGCAGGAATTGATAAATGGAATCAGAAATCCTGGAAAATGACGCAGACATTGCGGTAAAAAGTAGCAGGAGGTAAGGCGGGGGCTGCTCACACTCTTGAGCCAAAGATCCAGGATATTGAACAGAGGACAGAATCTCTTCTGAGCTGCCTCTTTCCATTGTATGTTGGAGCAAATCATTTTATAGTGTTTAACATGGAGATTTTTGAAGAAAAACGTGGGTGTGAGAAACTTCCAATAATTGCCCCCCCAACTCCCATCCTTTACAGAGCTTGTTCTTGATTCCTCCATTGACTTTGTACTCTCTTCCCCATGAATCTCCAGTCAGGACAGACCCCCCAGTTCCCTCAGCTTCCATTTTCACGCTCACCGCCTCTGCCATTCACGGAAGGTGGCTGCACCTTTGTCCCTCGCGGCTCTCGTCTTCTCATGCTCTGGAATCCACCCCCTCATCCCCACTCTGGAGCGCACATACCTTTCCCTTTTCTCCCTGCTGCCCGACATTGTTGCCATTTATTTTTCTTCATCCTTCTCTGTTTTAACCTCCTCCCTATTTTCTTTTTTTTTTTCAGCTTTAATTGAGTTTATTGGTACATTTTAGGGATACAGTACAGTTACATTCATTGTTGGGGTCTTGTACCTCTACATGACAGGTCTTGATTCTCATTTTTTCCCCTTACCTCTGCCCTCCCTTCACCCCCTCCTCCCCTCCCCATCTACAAACACTTTGTTTTCATCTTTTCATTCTCTCACATTTTTTTCTTTTCCCTTTTTACTCTTCCCCTACCCATCCCACCTTCCCTACACCTTTAGCTCCTTTCTTCCCATTTCTAAATGTCAGTAAACTTATTAGAATCTTATGCATTGTTGCAGATTATTCACACCAGGGAAACTATTCGGTATTTACACATGTGTGACTTATTTATTTCACTTAGGAGTATATCTTCAATATGTATCCATTTTCCTACGAATGAATCTATTTTCTCATTCTTTATGGCTGAGTAATATTCCATTTTATAGAAAAACCACAACTTCTTTATCCAGTTTCCAACAGATGGGCAAATAGGCTGTTTCCAAGATTTAGCTATTACAAACTGTGCCGCTATAAACATGGGTGCACATACTTCTCTGTGATATGATTCTTTTAGTTCTTTTGGAAAGATAC